ATCCTTCATATCATCTCTTTGGCTTATCCCCTCAGTGTTCTCCCCAGGTCTCCTTTGACCCTCCATTTTGTCTTTCACTTCACTCCTGTTACTACTTCCATTGCCATGGAAACTCTAGGCAGCCATTTTGTAGGCTGGGGAAATGAAGAAGTCATTAAACATCTTGTAGTTGCAATGGAAGAGTACTTTATTGCCCTCTTTTTTTCTTCAGTAAGCAAAATGTCCACCGATGTAGTTATATAAGGGAATGTCTCTGCATTTGTTGTTGATGGTTTGGGGGTATATCATATATTTTGCAACTCCATCCATTTCCCGCCTCTGTTCCCGCCCTCCTGGTTTTTGTCCATGCCTCCATCAGGTTTGATGTTCAGTGCCAGCAATCAATTTGGCTACTGCATAAATTAGTATGCTCTGGAGCCATCCTTCCTGAGCTAAGACAAAAATGTGTGAGCTGGAGGCTAAAAAACTGTGAGCTAGCTCACACTAACTCAACTTAGAGGGAACATTGGAGGTGGATAATAGAAGGATGGCCACCAATGGAACATTAAGTTTTGGTTTTGGTTTCTTCTTTGCATATCTAGTAATTTTCAAAAAAATTACTTAAAAAAAATACCGGAGCATATCTGCAGCCCTGATCCTACCTGGTATGCAATCGTACTCACCCAGCAGGGTTGCATGAGCCACTGTAATTTGGCCCCTCTTATGCCTCTGTTGATTTGAAACAAACCAGTGGTGGTGCCAATGATGTGATTATCTCTTTCCCCAGCACTGCTACAGCACTAGGAAGAGGCTGTGGCTCAGTGGAAGAGTTCTCTGCTTTGCATGCAGAAGGTCCCAGGTTCAATCCCTGGCCTCTCCAGTTAAAAGGATCAGGTACGAAGTGATGTGACAAACCTTAGCCTGAGACCCTGGAGAGTCGCTGCCTGTCTGTGCAGATAATACTGCTCTTGATGGACTGATGATCTAATTCAGTATAAGGCAGCTTCATGTATTCATGTGTGTTCATCCTACAATGCTGTAATACTCGTGGGCAAGTATTGATGTCATGGACTCTTTTCATGTGATCTTTCATTTGATTGTCCTTCAAGGGTTTCTGGCAGTGTTGTCTGAGCAACAAAATCACACTGGCTTCATACCCTCAGATGTATGCGCTGTACCTCTGTCTGTGTGTAGTCTGTATGTGCTGTACCTCTGTCTGTGTGTAGTCTGTATGTGCTGTACCTCTGTCTGGGTATAATCTAAGCCCTCTTCAGATACAGAGCAGGGTATACTGAAGATGAAGACGGGGAGGAGCAGAATCACATAAGACCTAACATTCAAAATTGTACATGTGTGTTATTAATTACTCTGCTTTTGTAAAGTTCCACAATTGTCCTAGGTTTGTGGGCTCTGTGAAGAGCATTTGCTGAACATGTTGTGTTTGGAGCTGCAGTTCTGCCCTCCTCCACCCCCACCCCCACCTGTATTTATCATCTGAATTTAGCTTTGTTTACTGTATTGGCCAATTTACCTCCTCTGGATGTTCCTCTGAAAGATGCCAGCGAATTGTTACCCTCCAGCTATGTTTTCCATTTCTAGCGGCCAAATGGGTTCCTTCCTGCTACTTCAGATTTCATATTCTAAATAGCTTCTAACAACGCCCGCCATTTCTGCATAGTGTTGAAGGGCATACATACCCTCTGACCTGACGTGCATACTACTAACCTACTAGAGTTGCCAGGACCTCTGTGGCCACTGGTGGGTCGCGCGGGGGGGGGGGGGAGGGTTGCAAGCTCCAGGTTGGGAAACTCCTGGAGAACTGAGGATAGAACTTGGGGAAGACAGAGACCTCAGTGGGGTACAATGCCATAGTGTTGACCCTTCAAAGCATCCTTTTCTCCAGGGGAACTGATTTCTGTAGTCTGGGGATCAGCTGTTATTCTGGCAGATTCCCAGGTCCCACCTAGAGGCTAGCATCTCTATGCCCTGCCCGCCACTCCATGTTGACTCACAGTGTACTGTCTCAGCTATAGCAGCACAAACACGCTGATAGAGAAAACATAAAAGGCCTTTTTAGAAAGCAAGTCAAGGGTCAGCCCCATAGCCAGGAATTTCTCTGGGGGGATAATGAAATAAAATTAAAAGTAAACATTAAATTAAATGCAAAGTTAACATTAAATTAAATTTAAATTACAAATTTACAGAGCAGGCAAGGGGTGAGCAGAAGAAAGGAGGGTTACAGAAATAGCTTTGGGCCAGCTCGGTGGTGTGGTGTGGTGTGGCTTAAGCTCTCAGTCCACTCCCAGCCCTCTGTAGTCCTTCGGGTTCAACGATCCCCAAAAGAACTCCACTGGTGTGGAAGCACTCGCTGGATTCCTCTGTGTTAAGGCCAAGGGGCTGAAATCGACTGTCCTACTGCTTGCCTGACAATCAGCTGATGGGCCCTTTAAAATACAGCAGGCAACAAAGGGAGATGACTCTTGCAGGCCACCATAGAAGAGGACAGGCAACAGAGAGCGATGTTCTCTCCCCGCCCCCCACATTGCTTTCTCAACCGCAATCAGGAGGATGAGGGAGGAAGGGATCATGGCATGGTAGCACCAAGTGCCCTGCCTCCCTCCCCACCCCACCAATGCAAGGAAGAGAGGGCTTTGAGCTGGCTACTGGGCTGGTGGTGGCCTAAGGGGCTTTGAAGTACGCAATAGGGGGCTCAGCCCCCAAAGCTCCACTACTGGCTACGACCCTGTCAGGGGTTACTGAATACATTGGAGGGGGAGCAGCAGGATTGCAGGAATGTACCTTTCCCCAAGTTTGTGCACAGAACACCGGGGAGCAGACTCAGTATGCATCTACACTGTATACAGGTAGACTATGCATATGTAGTTGGAAGCCATGCTTTCTGTACAAGGTTGATCTTAATAGAATATATTGCATGGCTTTGGGTTTTGGGTTTTGCTATTGACCAACACGGCTGCCCACTTTTTCTGGCCTTCTTTGGGAACGACAGAATTTAGATGCTTGAGAAATAAACAAAGAAAAGAGACTGGGAAATCTCGTGAGGTAATTTGTCTTCTATTGACTCTTGACTTAGTATGTTTGTAGGTGCTGTCAGCTTGTAACCAACTTATTGTAACTCCAGCAAGGGGTTTTCAAGGCAAGTGAGAAGCAGAGGTAGCGCCTTCCTTGGTGGTCCCCCATCAAAGTACCGACCCTCCTAGTTCCAAAATCTGATGAGATCAGGCTATACCATACCATTCCACATCACCTTGACTTAGTAACCAACTAAAATTATTCTCCAGTACTTTTTCTATTTACTTTATTACATTTTACTTCATTTATAGCCTTCTTTTCTCCCCAATGGGGACCCAACATGGCTTACAACGGTGTTCCCCCGCCCCCATTCTAAGAAGACTTGTACATTTGGCATCTGACAGACATTTGATCAACTTCTGATTACTATGTTCTTCAGCTGGATGGTTGTATTTTTGCTTTTTCTTCTGTTCCCAGCATGCCAAGGGCACCAGCTACCACACCTTGTGCCCAAGGAAATCCAATAAGCATCCTACAGTCATCCTACAGGTGTGGACAAACAGGCTTTAATTAAATTAAACCTGGGAAACAAGTTTTTCTGTACCCCGACTCTTTCTTTTTTATTATCCAGCTTGACAAAGAGTTCTGGAGAACTTGAAAAACTTGCACAATGTGTTGCATGTTGATTGGTCATAATAAAAGATACTACATTGTTTTTGGGTTTGGAATTTATTATGGACCAACATGCTTATGCACCTTTTTTTGCAAGTGTGTGGACATCCTATGGCTTAGAAGAGGCTGACTGGTGTTAAGATCGTTAGCATACAAGTCAATCCAGCCCTGAACTCTCACAAGGCATGCTTAATGGCTGCACAGTTAGTTCTTGCTGTCTCTGAAAAAAAGAGGTACATACATATGTGCTGTCAAGCCACAACTGACTCATGGTCAGGGCTATTTTTGGGCAGGAACGCACAGGAACGGAGTTCTGGCTGGCTCCCAAGTTGGCCATGCCCAGCAGGAACTAATTAGCATAATAGGCCACACCCAACAGCAGGAACTCATTCAGATTGGCTATGTTAGGGGTGTGTGGCCTAACATGCAAAGGAGTTCCTGCTCCAAAAAAAGTCCTGGGTTTTGACAACAAACAAGGTAAACAGAATACCAAGCAAAAGGTGGGTGTGGCCTATTATGGTAACTGGGGGTGCGGCCTAATGTGCTAATGAGCTGTGCTGTCGGGGGTGTGGCCCAATATGCTAATGAGTTCCTGCTGTTGGGTTTGGCCTATTATGCTAATGAGTTCCTGCTGGGCTTTTTCTACAAAAAGAGCCCTGCATGGTGATCCCAGCAAGGGGCTCTCAAGGAACGTGAGAAGCAGAGGTGGTTTGCCAGAGCCTTCATCTTCACAGTCTCCCTTGGTGGTCTCCCTTCCACGTACCAACCCCACTTAGCGTCCGAGATCTGGTGAGATGGGGCTATACCATGCCTTCACCCTTCCAACAAATGAGATCTTGGGATTAAAATTAATAATATTGTTGAATACAGAGGAAAATGTGTTCAATGGGTATCTTGGGCTTTGAGGTCATGGCTGTAGCTCCCTACTGAGGATTATGAGATGTGGTTGAGCCTGCTATGCGGGGAGGGTGGGATACAAACCTAGTAAAATAAATGGTTGACACGCTAAAGTTTGCAGGTGAAGAATTATCTCTGAGAAATAGTTACGATAAATTGGCATTTTATGTTCCTGAGTAACAGCTGCCCTTTTAATTTTTCCCCTTTTGATAAAGATCTCTGTCTAACTAGAAACCTGAGAACACCCAGCCAGATTTTGTATTTTTTGACTATTTAGAACCAATAGCCATGGACCGGTGTATGAATATTGGTATATCATACGTGTGAAATGACTTTTCCGTTCTGCAGGTTGCTGATGATCCATGCAAACGGAAATCTTTACACTAACACAGAACGTGCATCCTGTTCTCTCTTTTTTACAGACTTGCGCAGAATGACAGCTGGTTTCATGGGCATGGCTGTAGCCATCATCCTCTTTGGATGGATTATTGGGGTGTTGGGCTGCTGCTGGGATCGAGGCCTTATGCAGTATGTGGCAGGACTTCTCTTCCTCATGGGAGGTAAGGGGGGAAGGTTTGTCAACGAATGTCATTTTTTTTTTCCTCTGGGTCTTCTTTTTGTCCTGCTGGTTCCAAAATACCAGGCAATCTAATCTAATTCTGCCATTTCATTAAGGTAAGTCCGCAGCAACCAGTTTGAACTCTGGTGCTACAACCAGGGCCGGCCCCAGCTTATTTTGCACCCTAGGCAAGGATCCCTTCTGGCGCCCCCCCCCCCCCCGGTGCACCCACCAATTTTCAAAAATAAATGCATTTTAGGAAGAATGAAAAACACAAATAACCAAGAAACTCCCAGAGTATGGGGCCTGGTTCAGTTTGGCGCCCCTAAGGGCCGTCCTGTTCTAGGTGACCGCCTAGTTTGCCTAGTGAGTGAGCCGGCCCTGGCTACATCAACACACAACGTTACAGTTTCAGAGAGTAACCGTGTTGGTCTGCAGTAGAAAAACTAGACTGAAGTCCAGTAGCACCTTAGAGACCAACAAGACTTTTTTGGGTATAAGCCTTGGAGAGTCCAAGCTCCCTTTTGTCAGATAGGGAGCTCTGATTAAGGGTTCTTTGACTCTTCAAAGTTTATAACCCCAAAATCTTGTTGGTCTCTCTAAGGGGCTATTGGACTCAAAACCACTATTATGGAACACTTTCCCTTTACTTCCCAGTAATTCTTATAATGTGAGCTAAGGTAGGTAGATGTTATTATACCCATCAAGTAGACAGAAAGACCGAGGCTGAGAATGGCAAGTCTAAGGCTGTCTGGTAAATGCAACATTGTGATCTGAACTATCAGCTCATGTTTATGCTACAGTCTTAAAACTATTTTACCTTTAAACCTCTAAAAGGTCAGTCATTTCAGTAACCTCACTGGCCGTGACCTGGATAGCCCATGCAAGCCTGATCTTGTCAGATCTTGGAAGCTAAGCAAGGCAAGTATTTGGATGGGAAGCCCTGGCACGTATTTGGATGGGAGACCTCCAAGGAATACCAGGACTGGGAGGCAGAGGCAGGCTATCAAGCCACTTACCTGAACATCCTCCATGCCCCAGTAGGAGTTGCCAGAAGTTGCCATGACTTCCAGGCACAGACACACACGCGCGCATGTGCACACGCACAAATGCAAAAATGCAAAAAAAATTTCAGTAACCTCACTAAAATGCAGTTATCCAAAAGGTATAAGAAAGCCGTGACAGTTTGGTGGGTTTAAAAACTGTGTTAAGTTGATGGGGTGCTAGGGACCCAATGAGAGTTGTTTAGCCTGAGTCTGTTGGTGTTTCCTTAGGAGACAATGATTCCAATGGAACTTTCTGCCAAGTAAATGTGGATAGGATTGCAGCCTACATGATTAACAATGGGTCTGAACTGCATTTGTTGGAGATTGTTCTTTTTTCCTCCATAAAACCCTCAGTCCTTTAAATTGTTGGCAACTTTGTGATGTAGGAACATGAGCACCAGGACCTTATTTAGGAGGAAAGGTGGCACAGAAATGTTTTAAATAACATTTTAAAAAACGACTCCCACAGAATGTTTCTGTGAGAAGGAAGTAGTTTTTGAACCAAAATGGAAAATGGTCCTTAATCAGCAGGTCTGTGAAGTTTGATAAGGCCAACATAACCCTATCCAAATAATTCAGCTCTGGCTCTAAGGTACAGCTGTCTACCAGATAAAGGTCTTCCAGTGGACAGTTAATTAAACTGTCCCACTCTTAATTAACTGATTACAAATTCCTGTGTATTCTCTGGTATCGCACACCTGTGTATTCTCTTTATATGTGTGTATAATACTGGGAGATTCCCCTCTCCCTCCTCCCCATGAATATTCACAGCCACCCTTGATCCCAGTTCACTTGCTTGATCTGAACACTACACAGTCATAAACACTAGCCCACGTTCTCACTGCCAAGCCACACGGCACAGATGTGGAGTGCTCAGTCAGCCCCAATAACATTCTTTGGGCATGCCTAGTCATGCAACGAGAATTCTTTTTTAAAAAAACAAAACACCAGTGTGCTGCCTTTATACATCTGGAATCCTAGGCCAGTGGTACTCCCTTGGGTCAACAAACGCTCTTGTAAGCCCCTTGTAAACCGCCCTGAGCCCGCGTGCGGGGAGGGCGGGGTAAAAATGTTTAAATAAATAAATAAATAAATAAATAAAATTATTGAATAGCCAGTCGGCCAAAATCCAGCAAGCAATTGATATTTCCATGGTGGTTTTAAGGTGACTTTTAGAGGCCGAGCTCAACTGCTGCCTAAGATATGAGTCCTGATAACCTTTTTGAAGCAAGGCCTTTGCCTTCCACCGATCTTCTTTCATTCTTTGGCTACTGATTCAGAACTGCACAACTGAACAAAATCTGTTTTAGAACTGCAGAATGGGAGAGAACGGTATGTTATGAAATCCTTTAGGGTTCAGATTGCCCATATGGGATGCAAAATTTAACTTTGTGAAAATCTGGGCTTGCAGGCTTTTTTAAAAAAATTTTTACCAAGCTTCTTGCTGTTTTGACTGCAATGATAGGATGAAATCTGAAAGCCACTGTGGGCCAAACAAAATGTTACTGTTTTTAGGGTCTGGATTTCCTGGACTCAGCTCACGTTCCCTGAAGCCACAAAGCAGCTGTGGGGAAACGGTTTCTTTTCTTTTCTTTCTTTTTAAAAAAGGAGAGCCCAACAGGCTTGGCAGGGAGCGGCTGGGGGATATTCTACAAGGTATAAGCAGGGGTCATTTCGTAGAAAAAGAGCTAGGGGAACTCATTAGCATAACTCATTAGCATATGCCACACCCCCTGACATCACTGGAAGTGTGTCATAAGGCCACACCCCCTGACATCACCGGAAGTGTGTCATAAGGCCACACACCCCGCTCCCAATGGTCCCGGCCGCTGCCGCCGCCCTTGCAGATCCACTGCCGAGCCCCACGAGGGGCCCGGCGGTGGACCTGCAAGGCCGGCGGGAGTGCAAGGAAGCCCCGCAAAGGCCCTCCCTGGCCCCAGACAGGCAGGGGTGGGGAGAGGCAGGGAGGAAGCAACTTACCCTCCCTCTTCTCCTGCCTCCTCCTGGCTGAATGAGGACCGGAAACGGGGTGGCCGGAAGCAGGGGGCGGGGCTTCGTCATGTGCCCCGCCCCCGTACCTCACCGAGGGAACTGCGATCCCCCGTGATCCCCCCCCCAAATGACCTCTGGGTATAAGGATTATCTGAGATCAGCGTTGCAATATGTGAGCATGGAATAGTCAAAGGCTTGAGTATGAAGTCGGATAACCAACACACACCTACAACCAAGAATACATTTATTTCACTTGTACCTGACTTTGGGGGACCCAAAGCAGCTGACATCATTCTCCTCTCCTCCATTTTATCCTCACAACAACCCTGTGAAGTAGTTTAGGCTGAGAGTGTGTGAATGCCCCAAGGTCTCCCGGCAAGAGTCCATGGCACAGTAGAAATTTGAACATGAGTCTCCTAGATCCTAGTGTGACCCTCTGACCACTACACCATGCTGGCTTTCTCTTTTTTCACATTTCCAGCACATATCCCTCACACTGCTGCTAGTTGCAGGGGGTAGCCGTGTTGATCTGCAGCAGAAGAGTCACATTCAAGTCCAGTAGCACCCTCTAGACCTACCAGATGCTGCCACTGTGATTTACTCGTTACTGGATTTTTATTCTGCTCTTCCTCCAAGGGGCTTGGGGCAAGTAGGTGGCTAAGCTTACCCCCCTTGCATCTCGTCCTCAGCAACCCTGTGATGTAGCTGAGGCTGAGACAAAGAGTAACCAGTTTAAGGCCAACTTGTAAACTTAATCACAACCTTGGGATTTGAACCCAAAGCGCCCCAGTCTGAATAAAAATATTGACACTACTGCACCGCATTGGTTCCAGCACTGGAACTGCTTACATGACTGGCCTGCAATCATGGATGTTCATCTGGTCACATGGGTCAACAAATAGATCATCTGAAGCAGCTCCCTGTTTAAATACTTTTGACCTTATTGATCTTTGTGAACTACTTTCTTTTAGTCTACATTATTTCCAACTGCATTGAGCTTGATTTGTCCCCCCCCCCCCGTCTCCCTCTCTCTCTCTGTATATTCCACCTTTCTGCTACTGCATCTAAACTGATTTATAATTCAAAATAATTGCCTGAAATGTAATTATGATGGGAGGGAGAAGAGAAAACCAAGCCAATTCAAGAATCACCTTTCAGATTACCTATATTCACCTGATATGAGGCACGGGGTTTGTTGATATGTCATCAACTGTTTTATTGGTTTTACTGTTTTTATTGTTTTATGGATTTTGTGTTGTAAGCCGCCCTAAGCCCACTTGTGGTGGAGGTATAAATTGAAATAATAATAATAATAATAATAATAACTCCGAAGGAATCACAGGTAAGGAATAAATAAAGGAAATCCAAATATTCCCCTCCAGCATTCAAGAGTTCTCAATGGACTGAGGGCATGTTAAGTCCTCATCAGTATTTTCTTCTTCTTTTTCTTTTGGATAATGAATGAAGTTGTTCCCTCCTACCCTGCATACATGTAAATGGTCTGATTTTGCTGCTTTCATGATTGGGACAAGGCACGCAATTTACCACTAGATGTAATGGATGGTTCCCTAATGACCAGCTGGAATAACTATCAGCAGAAGTAGTTCCAGGCCTGTAGCTTCCACGGGGCCCACAAGGCCCGGCCCCCTAGTGGTTTTTATGGGCCCCTTCCCGAGCCATGGATCCAACCTCCCCACCACCACCACCTCACCCCGGTTGCCTGTCAGCAGGGAGGATGAGGGCAGCAACAAGCAGCAGCAGCAGTGACGAGGCTGGGCTTAGAGAGTGGCCTGGGCAGGCAGTGAGCATGAAAGGCGCAGGGAGAAGCCTCTGTCTCGGGCTTCCACCAGACGCTTGCTGTGCCACCCGCAAGCAGCAGGTAAGCCCAGCAAGGCAAGGAGGCAGGCTGCGCTCCTCTTGCTCCAGCCAGGCATGTCCAGCTATACTCCACCCACATGGCCAG